GCAGGGGGAGAAGCTTTGTGCACCCAGGCTCTGCGAGATGTGGGCACATGGGCCTGCCCGGGCTCTGCCGCCGACACCGTGTGAGAGTCGCAACCAGCGGCCGTAGAGCGAGAAACAATGCGGAAGGCAGGGAAGAGGAATGCGTTAGGAGAAGGTCAAAGGAAAGCCCTCTGCTTCTGGGCTGTGGGGCTTCTGCTCAAAACCATTTCTGATGCTTTCCCATGCAGAAGAGTCTGAGCAGATCCTCTGGACTGGGCATCACCACCTACACCTTAGGGGCAGCTTTTTTTTTTTACGCCTTGGCTCACCAGCAATTCTGAATTAAGGCAGGATAAAGAGCAGTCTGGGACAAAGAGAAGACATCTCCCTTCAAATCGTTTGGATTGTTTGGATTTCTCGAAAATTTTGGAACTTGATAAGTGGATTTTGTTTTAGTTTGTAAAGTCAGTGTTTGAAGGAAGGGCAGAAAGATGCAGCTGCCCCTGTTACTTCTCAGTGAAGAATCTGGTTGGAAAAATATAAAAGCTTGTTTTGGGGAGTTTGGCTTTTCCAGCTCCCTCCCCCAAGGGCTTGAGCATGACACAGCTGGGCACACACATCCCTGTGCCTCGTGGTGCCCATGGATGCCTGGGGCCCCCAGCCCACAAGCCAGCATTTTTGCCCCGTTCCACTTCCAGTCCCAGTTTCGAGGAATATTTACTGTTATTTGCATTTTGCAAGAGAGAGGCCTGGGCTACGGTTGCCCCCAGCCACGCTCCATGGTGGGTGAGCCTCAGCAGATGGGTCAAATGTTAAACAAACCATGGGCACACCCAACCCAACCCAACCCAACCGTGTGTTCAGGAGCTGATGCGGTCAGATGAAATCTCCCTCCTCCTCTTCCTCACTGCCATCCAATCAGCCTCGCCTGGGTGGGGAGTGGAGACCTGCTGGCGCCTGAGTGGGCACCAAAGACCTTTTGGGCCAAAGTCTAGCAGAAATGTGAAATCTTAACCAAAACCACCCTAGGCTGGGCAAGAGCTGAGTCTGGAGCTGAGGTGAGTTTCCCTATTGGAAAACTTCCCGGCAGAGCCTCTGGCAGATGCCAAAGCAGGAGCAGGCACAGAGGGGGCTGGGGACAGGGCTGTGACATCAGGCTTGCAGATGGACCGTGACGGGTGGAAAAAAATGCTCCTTTCCATTTCTGTGCTAATCCCTCCCGAACTGCTGACTCTCCTCACAGATCCTGTTTATGTGAAGACGGAGAATAACTTTGGCACCTTCTGATTAGAGCTACGCCGACAGACTCCAGTGTTTACACTCAACTGGCTTAACGCAGTCAGTGACGCCTTCCAGATGTTGGCAGCTGGTAAAATACTATCCCTGGAGTGCACCCCTGCTGCGAGGGAGCGGGGCCGGGAGTGACAGCAGGACGCGTGATGGAGAGCAGACACAGTGCCTGATGGCGTAGAGGCGTTTCTCGCCCAAGATATCGACTCTAACTTTGGCCATGAGCTCTTGAACTGCCCAAGATATGACTCTACCTTCTGCCATGAGCTCAAAGGTTCAACACAGTTGTCAGGAACCAGCCCACATCCTGCTCGCCAGCCTGTCCAAAGCCTCCTTCAGCATCGATCCCTGCAAGCCTGGCATGTCCTTGGCTCCTCTTCTCAAGCCAGAGGAAAAGCCACCCCAGTTTTGGAGAGGAAGACATGATGACGAAGAAGATGGCAGGAGGAAGAGAAGGTCATTGCTGAGAGGGAGCCCAGGGGACCACAGTGCTGTGGTTAAGGTTGCCGGGGAGATGCTGTCTATGCAGGATGGGAAACACCGGAGGGCTGAAGGAAGGCGATTGCTCCCGTAGATGGGTGAGCAGGAAGATGAGGAGCAGCAGGGACAGGTGCTGCCGTCCCTTCGGAGCAGCCCAGCAGCAACCAGGTCAAACGAGCAAGAGGCAGGGGGGTGCTGGGGGACACCAGTACACCAGCTCTGTCGAGAGGGACACAATTCGGGAAGCACCGGCCTTTCCCACAGGGGCTAGGTACCAGTGAGCACGGCTGGGAGAGCAGCTGGAAAGCTCCAGAGATGCTAGGAGAATGGGACATCTGCTCTCCTTTCTTTGGACCCCTGGGCCCACCAAACCCCCCAGGCAGCCGTGCTCGCTTGGTCGGGGAGATGGCCAGGTTCCACGAGGACATGGAGCACCGGCAGAGCCCGCACTTCCCTTTGGCCAGAGCTGCTGGGAAGGAGGTGGGTGGTTTCCAGAAGGATCTGATTCGAGAGGGGCAGAGGGTCCCCAGGACAGCCCCAAGGACACACTCAACCTCTCCAAACCAGGTTTCCCCCCTGAACCAGTTAGCACCCAGCAGCCAGGCGTCCCTGCCAGCACCCTCACTCACCGTGTAACCCCGCTGGCCTTTCTCGCCCGGCTCCCCCGGATCTCCGCAGAGTCCCTGCGCACAGACAGGGACCGAGTCAACAAACGTGTCCCCCTCATCCCACCGGCCACCCTCCCACCCCTGCAGGCTCCACAGCTGGGGCAGGGATGGAGGCAGCAACAGAGCTGGTTCCCTGTTGCTTCGGTGCCCTACGGGAGGTCAGGACAGGGAGTTTCACCTCCTTTTCCTTTGCCCCATGGCACTGCCCGTTCGCAGGGGCCGGCTGGGGAGGGAGCAGCACCCAGCAGTGGTGGGGGCTGTGTGGCCGTGGGGGTG